TCGGATGCACAGCACCACCCCCCGAATTCAACCAAAGCCATCACATAATCGTGGCTCGAACCCCCCTCCGGAAGGTATATAGGGGCGTCTATGGAGGCACGAAAAGCTTGCCAAGAACGGAAGCCTGATTCGTAAGTTTTTCGAGACGACAACGCAACCGCTCCGCGGACGTACTGGAGTCCAGCACTCCGGTACACAAGTCTACGCCCTCCCGGCTCAGCCCCTGTTCACGCCAGCGCACAGACGGGTGCAAGCGTTGTAAATCAGATGAAATCGATGCGTGATTCTCCCAGCGCGACATCCCGTCCGCCAAAACATTCTCGACCCCTGCAATATGCTTGGCGCGAAAGCTCCATCCACACCCCACCTCTAGACCTCCTGGCATGCGCATTACGGCACCTGCGCGCGGTTCCCGACCCCCCCGACATTTATTGACCCAGGAACACGCCGAAGAGTTGTCCCCCCGCATGAGGATCCCTTCTCTAGAGTACCGTGGACATGCGCCTGACCCCACAAATGACCACGCGGTGATCATCATGGCGAACAGCTCAAGCAGGTTAATGGAGAGACGATTGTGTAGGTCGACGCTGTCGTCGCGAAACGCCTGGCGGTGTGCCGGGGACAGATCAAAGCGCCAGCAATATCCCGTGTGAAGACAGTATCCCCCCATAGCATCACTCGACGCGTCCGAAAACAAAGAAATGCGAGGAGGGTGCAAATAGAAAGACGTGAGTGGGGCGGATAGAGAACTTGCCCCATGAAAACTAGCCCCTGTCAACAAGAGGCGCCAAAAAGACAGATCACTATGGAACTCGGGACCTAACGGAATGACCGCACGGGACTGGCCACTCTGCACGAAGTGTGACCCTTTACGCCCCACGGCGATTGGGTCCATGCCTAACTGGTTCATCATACGCCGGACCATGAACTTGCCCGGCCGGACAACGGCGCTCAGATGCAGCAGCTTGCCTACTAGGGACCGCAGTTCAGTTTCTAGCGCGCTACGCCGCGAAGACGGCCACAGCTCAAAAAGGGCACAGAGCTTGGCTAGTTTAGTCTCTGGCACCGAGATAGTCATGGCACCGGTGTCAATCTGCCAGCCCAGCACTTCCAGACACGTGGACCACGACGACACTTTACGAGCGGCCAGAACAGGGGGGTCGCCCGGGCCCCGTTCCCCGAAAAGACGATGATGATCAGATGCCAGCGCACTCGGCGACGCGAGACAGCGGCGACCGTCCTTAAAGTGTTCTACCTCAACCAGCAGGGCATCATCAAGGTAGTACTCTGAGAAAAAACGTCGTCAGTCCCCCCCCCTTGAACGGAAGGGACGGCGAAGCCGTCCGGAAGCTGCACGGGGAAATCAGAGGGCACGGGATGTTCTACCTCAACGTGGGCCGTAGACTTGCGTCCAGCGACCGAAATTACGGCGTCATGCATAGAAGTGCGGGTATGCGAATGTTTGAGGGCGTCGGAAAACAAACAGAAATGCCCTGGACTGTTCACCCACACGAACATGAGCCGTCGATCTACGACAATGAGACAGTCTTCATGGCATATATTCTGGGAAATACGTCTTGTTTTTTAGATATCGGGTGTTAGCGAAGTTCGCAGTGAGAAACTGTTGCGAGCGGGGGGGATGTTAGATTTACTCGCAGCGGCATCTGGTCGTGAGGATCCCAGGGGGATACATGTTCGGAATTTCGTGTGTTAAAGGGTACCACCGGCGCAGTCACGGGGACCCTTTGGGCGTGGTCGGTGCGATGATGAGGCTTGCGTGCGTGCTGCGCACTTCTTCCCTCTCTCTCCACCACCACCACGGTCTCTCTCCAATCAAGTTCCCTTCTCCCACTCGCTCTTCGACTCTCTCTCAACCTCTCTCTCGGCCTAACACGGCCGACTACCCAGTGCCCCAAAGTAACGTCCAGAACGTGCTTGCTGCACCCCGCGTAGTTTACCTTTCATGCGGTTCCGCACGCGTACATGCGGCGTTGCAAGCGCTTCTGCCTGATGTATAGACATAAGGGTAGCATTTGCAAGTGTCCCGAAAATCCTCCCTGCCCACACAGGCGTTGTTTGATGTCATAAGGCATGCTACTGCTCTAGTAGCATACCTTCATTGGTCAACTGCGCAAGCCCAGACGTCAGGTTTCTCGACCGCCACACACTGCCATTTTCCGTCTCGGTCAGCTTTCGTGCAATAAAGAATTCATGCATGGGTTCGAATCCCAGTGGATCACTTTCAAGGCAACATTATCGCCTAATAGCAGCATCTTGTGGCGAGGGTCCGTCCCCGGAGATCATACACCCTATCAGCTCCCCTGGGATTGGCTACGAGCCGAGAGCGTATCTTTTATTCGATAAAGGCTGACCATTTGACTACATGCCAATGCATAGTGCATAGATAGTGCATAGTCAATGACTATGCATGTAGTAGTCAAATGGCCAGCCTTTCTTTATCGAATCGACCTCGAACCAGTCAACGCCAATGATATGGGGATGGAGTGTAGACGCATCGTAGAACGCTTTTTCGTTTGAAGTTGGCGTCTTGTTTGAGAGTAGATGTGACAGATTTGCGTAGAATAGGGTAAGATGTTATCATGAACGGAGAAGAATGGGCTTTTCCAACACGGAGATGTAGCATGGATCAAAGCATTTGTTGGTTTTCAGCTTTTACAAGAGGACATCAACGCAGTAGTATTTGAGCAAGCTTACGAACGCATGTAGGATACCATGAGGATTGTCATTGGTTGTATTTCAAGTTGAAGAGGAGATATTTTTACGATGTAAGTGACAGTAGAAATAAGTCCTACATATTATGTGTTGTTGTACTTCGTATTGGTTTAATATTCATGTAGAGTATGAGACATTAAGTGAAAGTTTTCTGAGGTACATCTGCAATTGTCGCAAGGCAAAAAATGAATAAATAGTCTAAGTAGACACACACCACCTTTCTATTAGGTGTGAGCTGGTGTGCTTGCGTGCTTGTTGTGGGAATTGTGGGAAAATCACAGGAGCTGTATTGAGCCGGCAGGGCTCACATTGGGGAGGGGACAGAGAAGTACAGAGGTGACAGAGAAGTACAGAGGTGACAGAGAAGTACAGAGGTACAACTACCAGCTATGGGTCTACACGCCCTCCCACTGATCATGTTCACTGATCAACTGAACATGGTAGTTTCGGCGGCTTGACGACTGGTCTTTTCGAGGTCTACAAGCCGAACCTGCCCTACCGGCCGCACCGCGACCACGCATCAACCTTCGACGACCCTGTCTGTGCCCAACGTCCTGTCGCGGGCAGCCCTCATGGCCTATGCGTCGAGATAGCTGTTGCGTCTACAGAAGTACACTCATCTCCTGCTGTACTTCTGTCTCTCACCCCACACTCTCTCCTTCATTTTTTCTTTCTTTGCCGCAAAAAACAAAAAGAGGGGTTAACTTCCATGTAAGAAACAGTCGATACGCTCCTCCATCAAATCTTTTGGTTATCTCTTTGTACAATGCTTACCCGCCTGTTTCGCCTTGCGATTCGGGCCCCGCCTCCCACTGGGGGTGGAGGGGCCCTTGATGCCCTGAAAAATATATATTTTCAAAAGTTCTTTCAAGAGTCCAACTAGATCTAAATAATTCTGCAACAAGTATGTATTTGTTTCTTATGGCCAGAACAAGCGTCTTTGCTCTCACAAATTCGCATGCTCTCCATAATATTCTCTCTTAACCCTTTCGTGACTACACCCCCCAATCGTGCATGTTAGCATGCACGATAACTCTTATGTGCGACAGTTTTCGAACCGAATTGAGCTGTGGATACCTGCATCGACGACCGCTCGACGGTACGACTAGACCGCTCGAAAAGAAACAAAGTAACGACCGGGGACAGCAAAAGCACGTCCCCTATACAGAAAATTGAAAGCCTGGGAGTTGCAATGCTCCGCAGCACCCTGCATCCCGCGCTGCTGCTGTGCTGCTGTGGACCTCAGTCCAGCACGCAGAAACGCGATCATGAGGCCGTTTTGACCTCCCAGAACTGAGCAATTTCCTCTGGGTCCATGGTGGTGATGTTGGTACTGTACTGCTGTGGTGCTGGCAGGCTGTGGCAGGAGTGACAAAGTGTCAAACAGAGACACCCGCCCCCGTGCCTTCGCGTTTTTGAGAGGGTTTTCGTGACTTCAGGGACGATAGCATGCATGATAAAACCTGTCTTTATCTGGTACGAAAAATCATGCTCTCGCTGTTGAGTTGTGTGCCCTCTTCCTTGCCTTCGGAATGTGGTTGCAGAACTGAAGGCCAAGCTTACGAGGCCTCTCCCCGAGTTCTCCTGCGCGAGTGTGCGTTCGAGTGTTTTCCTTGTCCGTCTTCAACCAACTGCCACCACAAGGCATAGTCTATCTCTCGCGCGGCTCGTGCTTGCTGCTGCTGCTGCTGCCGCGGGCTGCTGCTGCTGCTGCTGCCGCTTTTTCATTTCGTTTCGCATGCATGCATCCCAACAAACCGTACGTGCGTGTGTGCTTCTTGTCTCCAAAGGATTTCCCACCCAACCAAGTGGCATTGGAGGCGGTGCCACATGCCTTGCGCCAGTGTGCTGCATCGGCGGCGGGGTAGCGTGACATGTAGAACTGCTGTGCATGCGATGTATGTCTACTGCTGCTGCTGTATCCATGTATGCCATCATCATGTGATAATCGTGTTTGGGGTAAAGAAATACGGCGCCCTCTCCTCTCTCTCCTCCGGTTTCCAACAGCACCTACAACAGCAGTACAGCAGTGTAGTTATCGGTCACCCATCACAGTCTTCACGTGAGGGTTACGCTGCTGTTGGGCACTAAACCTTTGTGGCACCACGGGGTGCGTGCGGTTGACCTGTGTGGGAACCTGTTGGTGCGCAAACGTGCAAACGTTCAAGTGTGTGTGTCGTGTGTGTCTCATGACTCATCGGTCTATTCGATCCCGGCAGAACAAAAAAAACCGCGGAAGATCCAGAAAGAACCCAGTCACGAAAGGGTTAAACCGTCGCCACTACACGCTGTACCTGGTTGAAGGATATCCCAAACTCAAGCGATCGCAGTGACGCAGGCCAACGGACCCTGTCCACAGGCTGGTTGAAGTGGGAACCCAACGACCCGAACCGCAGCTGCTGGAGGTTGGCCGGCAGCGTCGCTTCAGCGATTGGTTGATTGAATAGCTCGCCCAAATCCAACTTTTGAAGGGATCCAGGCCACTCGACGTCGGCGATGGACTGGTTAAACGCGAACCCGAGCGAAATATTTTGCAGGGACATTGGCCACGTGGCTATAACAACGGGGTGGTTGAAGTGCTTCCCAAAGTCCAGCGTTTGCGCTTCACCTCATCCACCGGTTGATTAAAATCATACCTACCCAAGATTGAGGTGCTGCAGAAATGGCGGCCACGAAACTTTGCCAATCGACTGATCAAAATTCTCCCCGAGGGAAAGCTGCTGCAGTGACGGGGGCCACGTAACTCCATCGATTGACCGGTTGAAGTCATCGCCCAGGTCCAGGTGCCGAAGCGATGCGTTCCAAGTGACCCCATTTAGTGACTGGTTGAAGCCCTCTCCCAACCCTAAATTATTGAGTGACTCGGGCCACACCACGCGGTCGATAGAAGCGTTCCTCACCATGCCTAAAAATAGCATACTCTGAAGCGATGCTGGCCAAGGAAACTGGTCGAGAGCTTGATACTCTGCACCGAAGAAAAACAGTTATCTCAAGGATACCGGCCAGGCGACTTCGTCTAAAGGCTGGTCGAAGTATCTCCCAAACTTGAACAATTCAAGAGACGGAGGCCACACGGTTTGATGGACGGGCTGGTTAAAGCTCCGCCCGATCCACAATTCCGTGAGGGATGTAGGCCAGGTGACGAGGTCCATCGGCTGGTCGAACAGCCAGCCAAAGCTGAGATTCTGCAGCGATGCTGGCCAAGTAATTGGTTAATTGGCATTGAAGTTACTCCCGAGCGAGACCTTCACCAGCGACGACGGCCACACCATATTCTCCAACGGGCTGTCGAACATCATCCCGAAGAACAACTCCTTGAGCGCCGGCGGCCACACCCTTCGATCCATCCTGTCATTGGCAGGGTTGTTGAATATAAAGCACTGCGCCGGAGCCAAGCCCTCTCCGCCAAGACGAAGATTTTCACTCGAGAGCTCCCAGATCACCACACGCGCCCGAAGGATAGGCACGCGACCGACTTGCCGCTGCTTTGCTCGGCGGGTCTCCCTGTCGGGGGGCCGGGCCCACAGGGGTTCGGGCGTGTAGCGGTTGACCCTCAGATCCAGGCTAGGCACACTTCGACATGAACTGCAGAGCTGCAATGAGGCCAACTGGAGTTGTGCGGTTGACGTATACCATGCACCACCGCCTGACGTCTGGTTGAGGGCGACGGTGAAGGTATCCAAACACCGGCTGGGGCCTTCCCGACATGCAGCAACGACACCAAAGGGGCAGAAGACAAGGCGAGGGCAGAGACTGTTCGTGCGTGGAGGTAGATTAGTCGGATTGTACCATATCACTGGCAGTTTCGTGTACCGCAGATGGGATTGCCTTGAGGGGCGGCTAGGAGAGACCTTGAGATACGAGTGGCGGGCCCCCTTTTCGACTGGCTTTGGGCCTGGCACTCTTCCTCCCTCCTTCTCCCTCATGTCCCCCTACGATAATACATGCCGTTAACAACACTCTTTGGACTCTGGAGGTCACACAACAAGGGCATACCAACATTCTAGAATGCATCCCGCTGAGGAGCCCGATGATCTTCAGAGTTCAGTTGTGGTGAGAAGCGGCAGCAGGAGGTTGTGCGTGATCCCGTGGTAAGGACATTACTGAGTGACACGACGCGCACGTTTTGACTAGGGTTTCGAGTTTTGGCGAGAACCAGGGGTGTAGGAGATGATGGGCAGGCTGCCATCGCTTCTGCAGGCCAAGTCGGGTGGGCGAGGCCAGGATTAGTCGGGCCGTGCTGCGAGAGGCACGGCAGGTGCGGCGGGATTTGTGTGTTCCACCTAGCAGCCACCAAGAGCTGCGTGGTCGTCAGGGAGGGCGACACTGCGGGAGGAGAGAGCAGCAGTAGGCCGGACGTGGATGGCGCCCAGGTGCGGGCTGTTGAGGTCCCTGCTGAAGGTGTGTTTGGTGCATTCCAGTACACCAACTCTCTCCGTCTGTTGTAGAAGTTGTGGCAGAGCTGTTGCACAGCAGAGTTGCTACAGCTGGGGGCACTAGCGAAAGTGTCCCAGCGACCGACTTATCCACTCAGGAGGGGTCGGACGAAGTTAGGCGGCGCCAAGAGGATGCTGTCGACGGTGGGGATGCTGTGTAGTGCATGTCCACCAGGAGTCCCAACGGGGGCTCCATAGAGCGGGAGCACGGAGGCTGCCGCTCGCCCGCAGGTGCGGGTCGTGGGAGCAGAGGAGAGTATCCGCTACTCCCGAGCCGGTTGCTATATCGGTTTGTCCCCATTAAAAGGGCGTGTAGGAGGGGGCACGCGGAGGCGGTGGAGTTCTGCCGCCTGCACCCCAGCAGCATGGAAGGAACACAAGACCGGGAGATGGCCTGGAGGTATACAACACCAATGTCTGCTGGGGCGGGTCTGGAGACAAGGCCGGAGCGGGAATGCCCGCGGGTTGTACCCGCAAGGTATGTGGCCCGCGAACACGGGTGGAGAACACTCGTGTACACTTGAGAGTAGTGTGTGCTCTCTTGTGTTTATCCCCATTAAGGAGCGTGTAGGAGGGGGCACGCGAACCCAACCCGTCGTGTGTGCGGGGAAGGGTACCAGAAAAATCTTGCTGGCCCCGATGGATATGCGGGGAGAGAAGTGCTTCCTGGCCCCGATGGATAGGCGGGGTATCACGGAAGTTGTGTGAGAAGTGCTGGAGTATTTGGCCACACCCAGCAGCACGGCAGTGGCCGTGGCTGCCTTCTACCAAGAGCGGGAAGGGGGCAGCGAACATCAAGGCGCGTGGGGTACCGCGTGCACTCTACATCATCAGCTGGCGGGGCCCGGAAATACGTAGCTGTGGGATGGTGGAGTTCAAAGACACGAGAAAGCCGTCGTGTGCCTGTCTGCTACACCGCTACACCGAGGAACGTCGGGACGCCGAGGGACGTCGGGTGTGGGCGGGTGGGGAGGGAAGCAAAACGGACCAGCCGCGCGGTGGATTTCCGCGGGCACTATCTTCATTTTGGTTGGTACCGGAATGTGTTTTATTTTGTTTTTTTTTCTGATTCTTTTGTATGTGGCGTTTAGCAGTAAAGGGCGATAACTTGTATTGCACGTGAATAGTCGCAAGTGAGGCGCTGTTGCGGACTTGCATAGATCGCTGTTAATTGCTTGTTGAAATCCATGGGTGTTTCCGCCGCCACATGCTCGAGTTTCACGCGTCACCGCTTGTTTTGTGTTCCCTGTGTGGCCTGTGTGGTTGCAGAATAAGGGAGGGTGGCGCCGTGCGTGGGTTTTTTGTTTTGGAGAGTGTAATGCTCGGAGAGTTTTGCGCCCGGTCTGCAGATATTCTGCAACGTGACAGAGTTATGGTCGTCCTCTCATGATTGAGGTGGAACTATTTCGATCTTGCAGTTATTGGATGACGGAGGGCGTTGCCTCTTGGGTGTTGTTGGACTCTATTTACGGGAGGAGTTTGGTCGTGTTTCCACGATGTTGCATGTACCATGTGTCTGATTTGTTGATTGAATGCTGGACGATCGCCACGTGTATTTGCTTCTAGGCAACCAAGTGACTGAGTAGTCTGGTGAATAAGATCATGTAACGAGTAAGGATACGCCGGGAGTTCGAAACTCACCAGGCGTCGCCTTTGTTCAAGGAATGAAGAAAGGAAAGCGCCTTTCCGAGAAGGGGAAAGCGACGCGCGTTGTTTGGCACACTAGAGAGGGCGTATGAAGTCGTCCCCAACTACTAGGCATGTGTTGCGTAAGGAAGGGCATACGGCGTGTAGACTATCAGTGTTATTCGAGGAGCGGACAATGAATATCAGGTGCATCGTAGGTTGCTATTTTGGCCAAGTTTGTTGTACGACCTCACCAGAAGGGTAGGGGCGTGCTTGATGATTTGTTTTTGTGCTGCGCAGGGAGGACCTTGTCGAGTCAGCCGAGCGTGGCGTAGAGAGCGAGCCGGGGGCGGTGGTAGATATTGTCTTGCCTTGATGTTGCAGTACGGCCGTTGGAATCTTTCATGATATGAACGGCGTGAAGGCGTTGAGATTTGTAAGGGGTTTTGATCCGATGGCGGGTTTCCCCTTGTTTCTGATTTGCGTTGTTTTAGGTGCTTTTCGGATGTACTCTTCGACGCACGAGTGATGGTTATTCACTGGCGTAAAGAACCAAGGGAGGGTGTTCGTGCGTGGAGGTAGATTAGTCGGATTGTACCAAATCACTGGCGGTTTCGTGTACCGCAGATGGGATTGCCTTGAGGGGCGGCTAGGAGAGACCTTGAGATACGAGTTGCGGGCCCCCTTTTCGACTGGCTTTGGGCCTGGCACTCTTCCTCCCTCCTTCTCCCTCATGTCCCCCTACGATAATACATGCCGTTAACAACACTCTTTGGACTCTGGAGGTTACACAACAAGGGCATACCAACAGGAACCACGTCACTGTTGTTGTGGTTGTTGATGTCGTGTTCAATGAAAAGCCGGGTTCTGTTCGTGAGGTGGATTATGCCATCCTTACGAAGGCTACTGTGGTGATATCCATGTGTGGGTTTGAGCTAGATGCAATTGCGCAAGCAGTGGCTGTTACTCGTTCTTGGATCTTCGGGGTATCTCCGATCATATCTTTGACAAGTTGTCACGTGTTCCGCTGTCGCGTGTTCCGAGTCCCGAATGCGTCTATACTACGAGGAATTACTTGCGGCTGTTGTACGAGTGCCTCGATGTTTGTGATGCATCCTGGTGCTCACTCTCTTCCGTTGCTTGTGTCTACGAGGACAAGCAATGAAACGACTTTACCATCTCTTCACATTGTCAACCGGGACAACCGTGCTCATCCAGCAGCACTCGGCTTGGGGCCAATCAACACTCTAGAGTTTTTGTGGCGTTAACGCCATAGTCTAGTGCGGGAGACACACACGTCTTCGGAAGACTCTGGGAACTCTCTCGGGGGCGAGGCCGGCCCGACTCATGAGGAGCCTAGGACGGCCATCGACGACGCCGGGGGCGACGCCAGCACCAGACTGGAGAGGATGGTGACGGAGAAATTGGAGGGCATCATGGACACCTTGTCCCGTTTAGTGCCCGGGACACCGCCCGCCGGAAGTGCGACCGCAGCAGGCGGCGGGGGGGAGTCATTGGGGAGGATGCACGCCTTCCCTGGCGCGGGCCAGTTGGACCACGCGCCGAATACCGGACGAGGGCTCGAGGGAGCGAGAGGACTGCGAGGCCCGGAATCACGAGAGCCGACACCATACGGTGCTACCTGGCGAGAAGGAGTCAGCAGAGAGGAGCAAGCTTCACGGTATGCTTTCAGCCCGCATGCCCGGATACCACGTCTTAAACAGTTGGACGTCATCGGAGATGAAAAGAACCGGCTGATGTTTTCATTACGCAGGTGCAGACTTGTGAATGGGTCGTGCCTTGAGTGACAGCAGAGACATTGTGGTCCTAGGCATAGACGATGATGGCTGGTAGAGCAGGGGGTGGAAGTAGGGGAGATGGCCACAAACATACCGGGATCTGTGGGGGATGCTGACCCGAGTGATCTTCAACAACTCCACAAAAAGGCTCGTATTTGCATGGTTCCCCGATGCGCTTTCCCCGAAATCTGAGATTCAACAGCAACAGCTACTCGCCCAGAAAACACTCGATGAAGAAGAGATTTTAAGAGTGCTTCGCTCACGGGCTGGGCAACTGCAAGCGAAGGAAAAGAAGGGGAAGAGTGATCGGCGAGCGAATCATCATGCGTTCGTAGCAGTAGAGGGGAACGGGAGAGGGAAGAGACGATCGACACAAACCAGAGGGGACGAAGATGCGTACCTGGCCAACGATAAGAAGTCAGTCAGGTGCTACATCTGCGATGGGGACCACTTTGCATATGCATGCCCAGAGAAGCTTTGCCAGAGGTGCGGGAAAAAGGGGCACAACGCAAAGAACTGCCCATCGAAACCTACGGACGAGACTGCAGTCACCGCAGTCGAGTTGGACGTAGCATACGAAGCACTCTGATGATATTTCGATCTGTTTTTCCCCGTGGTGCCTCAACGTCCCTCCCCTTGCGTGCGTTGCTTGCGAATCGGCTTGTGGGCATTTTCCTTTGCGACTGTTGAAATTACAATCATCGGATCCAGCCGCTGTGCGATACTAATCATCTCCGATAGGACTTGAGGAGGACAGACTGTAAAGCTTTAGAGTATACTGCACTGCGTCTGCTCCTTGCTGCTGCTCTTGGCTGACCCAGGACTTCGAAAAATCCCTACAGGTACGAACAAACCCCTCTGTGTGTGGTCGAAGATGGACTGCGTCTCTGTACAAGCCCAACATGTCACCATACAGGACATACTAGTGCTGCCGTTCACCTGTCGCCGTCCTTCCACGTCTACCTGTCCATGGCACATGCTGCCACTTGATGCGACAAAATATGGGAACAACACGGACACAGGGAGTACCCCACACGCGCAACCTCTCATTCCTCCCTTGTCAAACACAAATGATGTAGCATGCATGAACTAACTGATAAACAACTCTGTCTTTACTTATGGTCTGCGCTGCCCACAAATGGGAGAGATAGCCATACCTCCTGCCTACACATGGACGAGAGAGGTGAACATACCCACTGCATTTAACACACACCCACATGTCGGTGATGAAACCTCATCAACCACATGTCTCTATCGGCGACCACGTCATCAGGAGGCAATGATGAGAAAATGTTCTCCCGTGCCCTTCGCACATTGAACGACATGAAATTACAAAACATGACATATACAGTAGGGGGCCCTCTATAGTGCCGGTATGTGTTCAGAGAGCAAAGCGGCACTATACCGGGCACCGGCACTATTCAGAGTACAGAAAGACTTGATATTCCGGTGTGTGCGAGCCGAAAACACCGGCACTATACCGGCAACCGGCACTATTCAACCGGCACTATATCGGGCCACCCACTGTACTAGATCGGGAGGTGGAATAGTTTTTTGTGGTGGATACACAAAAGTACCTGCAGTAGGCTCGTGCGTCTGTTACAGAAGAACGGGGGGCGGTC